CATAACAGTTCAGGTCAGTGAAGGAAGAAGGATATGAATCCATCTACTTATGTATTTTTTGACAGGGTGTCTGTGTAGTCCAGGCTGGTCTCAACTCACTGTGCAGCCCAAGCTGCCCTCAAACTTGTGATTGTCCTGCCTCAGCCTCCCAAGTGCTGGCATTACAGGTGTGTGCCACCACACCCAGCTTTAAATTTTTTTAGCAGTAGTGTTTCTTTGGGAATTTTTTTCTGAAAGGAAGTGGTCACCACTGTCTCTCCTCACTAAGAGAATTGGTTTAGTAATTATTCTTTTTTTTTTTTTTTTTTTTGGTACTAGGGATCGAACTCAGAACCTTGCTCTTTCGAGGCAGGCGGCGGAACCACTGAGCTAAATCCCCGGCCCAGTAATTATTCTTCATAGTGCATTCTCTGGGGATATTATGATCAGGAAAAAAATGTGAATAAACTCTTGCCTTTGAGATGATTGTTGTCAGTTTCATAGACAATTTGAGAAGGCTGTAGTTACAAGAGTCTTGTTAGAAGAGATTTGAGCCAGCATATTTTTCTTTAAATTGAGAACTTTAAGCCGGGCTTGGGGTTGCACGCCTGTAATCTCAGCAGTCAGAAGGCTGAGGCAGGACGATTGCTGCAAATTTGAGGCCAGTCTGGGCTACATAATGAATTCAAAGCCAGCCTGAAGTTACACAGCAAGACCCTGTCTTTAAAAAAAAAAAAAAAATAGAGAGCTTTAAAGAATTTCATTATGTAGTAACTTTGGAAATTTACTACTTAGGTATCTCCTCTGATGTGCTCTTAACTAGGACCCTTTTATTTGTGCTGGGTGAACCTGATTTTCCTGTTTTGTGTGTAACATGGGTCCCCAGAAGGAGCTTTTGTGCCATTACTGAGGCTTACTATAGTGCTTTTTTGGCAGTAGGGTATATAATTCTTTCCACATGTCATAATAATCATCTGTCACTGATGTGCCTCATTGCCTTGCCATAATGTCAACTATATATTGATATTCTAAAGAGTAGGAGTTGAATCGATGGATCTGATAGAAATTTTTCTTTATGGGAAAATATTTGCATATTATTTAACTGACTCAAAATATTTTGAACAAATAACTTATATTTGGTTCACCTGCCAACTTGTCCAGAACTCAGCTGTTACTCTATTAGGAATTAGTATTAAATTTAAAATCAGAAATGAAAAAGTGAACATCTACCAATTTGCGTTATACACAATGCAATATGCCAGAAAGTCCATGAGGATTAAATAAGACCCAAATATCTGCTTCTTTCATAGAATGTTCATTGAGACACAACCCTAGAATAAGGAACTTTTAGTATTTATATAGGGCAGTACACAGATTTTTAACTGTATGTGTATTGATGCTTCTACAAATAATGTTTTCTCATTCTGGATTGTCATAAAGAAGTTAATGTAATGCTGTAGAGCCTGCCATCCCATATCAGCATTAATCTAAAAATTAAAGTGCCGGTCCACATTGGAGATTGCCCTTTTCTGGTGAGGGGAGAGAAGGCTTGCATAGTTTAGTGAATTCACAAACACAAGACTTTTTACACCGAAAAATTGGTAAGAACCACAGAGAGCTTTTGTGGGTTATTATTTATACATGTTTGCTTTATTAGAAACGCTGAGAAATTATAAAAATAATTATTTACTACCTAATTTAAAAATAACAAGACCATTACTGTGAAAAAAAGTTTCAGCCATAGCCAAAACAAAGATGTAATGAAAGGTACTTTTTATATTTTTGCAAATCTTTTAATTATCTAACTTAATAGAAAACAACTGGGTTCTCATGTTTGCTGCATTCGTTCTATTGTGTTATCATTTTAATAGGAATATATAAGGAAAATCTGGCCGTGGTCTGGGAGTGTGGCTCAGTTGCAGGGTGTAGGATTGATGCACAAAGAAAGCCCTGGCTTTGATCCCTAGTACCTCAAAAAAGCAAAGCAAATCTGGCTTCAGCAGATAAATAATTGGAAAAGAGAGAAGTTAATAGTCTTTTCAGATATCTGTATTTAACAAGTCTTTTCAGATATCCTTTGTGGCTCAGTAACTTTTCCAGTCTCTGGGACAAAATACTGACTACTGCAACCAAGAGAGGGAGGGGTTTATTTTGGTTCACATTTCTGCCCTAGTCTTCTGACTCCAGGGCTGGAATGCACGGCAGTGGGGCATGGCTGATGAATAGCAGCTGCTCACCTCCTGGCAGTTAGGGAGCAGAGAAAAAAGGGAGGAACTGGAAAGGGAGATTAAACTTTTCCAGGCCACACCCCCTGTGATCAGTCTTTTCTGACCAGACTCCACCTCCCAGCAGCAAGCCTGCTTTACTTCCCCCATAATACTATCACTTTCTAAACGTAGGAGGCTTTTGAGGGCCATTTTAAAGCTAAATCATAACATTTTTATGTTGCATCCAAACTCAACATGTTGTTACTTCATGAAGATTAGTTGTAAAGTGGAATCTAAAACTGTATCAACTAACCTTTCATACTGTTACATTAAAATCTAAATTACAGTTGGTCTGTTTTGAACTTAGTTTTACTCATACATGATTTTCTAACAAGCGTTGGTCATTTGGTCATTTACTGGGCAATACAAACTTTCCAAATGTTGACACATTATATATCAGAAATTCACATTTACTAGTATTACCACTAATCTGTTTAATTAGAAATACAGAAATGTTCAAGCTCATGGTGGATACAGGTTTTCAGAATACAGTACTAATTTTTGCTTGAAAACTCTGATTTTGTCATTGGAAACAAATACTAGTTTTCCTTAAATAGGTTCACTTTGTTCATTTTTTTTTTTTTTTTGGTACCGGACATCGAACTCGGGTCCTTGCGCTTGCGCAGCAGGTGGCGAAACCGCTGAGCTAAATCCCTGGCCCTACACTGTTCATTTTAAGAAAATGTCTGCCTACTCCCCAAGTTTGAATAATTGTATTTTGGTCTGTGAAATAAAAATAGTATTTCATGAAGAAAGGTTTTAAAATGAGCTTGCAGGTCAGTTCTACTAGTGCTTTTTCTCACATTTCATAAAGCAGCAAAGTGCTTTATGGGTACTTTTCCTTTGAATACAAAAAATATTAAAATAGGTATTCAGAAGGTCAAGATGTAATAAAATTAATTTTTACTGATTCATCAGGAGCACTCTAGCTGGCATGGTGGCACATGCCTGTAATCCCAGCACTCTGACACTGAGGCAGGAGTATCACAAGTTGGAGCCCAGCCTGGACAATTTAGCAACTTAATGACAGAAAAGGTGATGGGATGGAGTGGAGATGTAGGCCTTTGGGTTTAATCCCTAGTAATGGAAGGGAAAAAAAAGAGAACATTTTTAAGTGAAACTGACTTTGGTGACATGTCTTGATTTGTTCTAAGGTACAACAATTTTGCTTATCTTTGTTTTTATACCCTTATTGTACATGTCAACACAGTGAAAAAGGTAAATAATGTTTCAGTATATCTGTGAAAACATGGACTTCAGTCAGAATGGTCTTTGATGAGGTCCCAGAAGTCAAGAATCCATGCTTTAAGAATACCTGGCTTAGCTGGGGATTTAGCTCAGTGGTTCTGCCTCCTGCCTTGCAAGTGCAAAGACCAGAGTTCGATCCCTGGTGCCTGCCCCCCAAACCCCCTGTCTTAACACTTGGGAGGCTGAGGCAGGAAGATCTCCACAAGTTCAAGGCCAGCCAGTTTTTCTAAGTTCGTATAGGGCCTCATCATAGTAGTAGTTGTTGCTAAGGAAGTGAGTAGAGAGAGAAGGCAGAAGGAGGAATCTTGTATAGTACTAACATTCCAAGGTGGCACAGACAGGAGGAAGAGAATAAGATAATAGTAGTGTCAAGAACATCAGGAGAGGAAAATTTCAAGAAAGTCAGGATTGGCTGATGCTTGGGAGAAATCATATTAGAATGAGGAATACAGATTTGACTATTGGATTTAATAAGATTTACTGGTAACTTTTGCTAGAGCAGTAAGTATTGGAAGAGTGAAGACGCAGAGGCAGCTGTTTATACTATTTCTTTCAAAGGGTTTAGGGGTAAAGGGAAAGAGACATGATGAGCAGTTGATTTGAGGACAGAGGAGACTTGAGTAAATTTTTAGGCTGAAAGGTAGGGGCCAGTAGAGAAGACATTGAGCATTCTGATCTGAAAAGAAAAAAAAGCTGATGAAGTAAATTGGTATTGCAGGTGTGGTACGTTTAGTTTTGTTGTTTAGTCCATACTAGAAGGGGAGTGAGAAGCTGGATTCCTGGCCAGAAAAATGTACAGAGATGTGTCATTTTATGTAAATATTTTTGTGAGAGTGTGAGGAGTTCCTTTACTAATTTTTTTCCCCGTCATTGAATGTTTTTGATCTGTTTGCTTTAATATTCACAGTGGGGCTGTAATTCATGTCTCGCACCTGGGGGCCTTGAGCCACTGGTGGTGGTACATGCATGACTGTTTTCATGCGTGACTACCACTTCTACCACCAGTGGTACAAACTGCCCAGTGGGAGTCATGCATGTACCACCAGTGGTTCAAGTCCATGGGACTATGTTAAATCCACTAATTTCAAGAAGTTTAAAGAAGTTTTTCTTTTTCTTTTTTTTTTTTTTGTACCGGGGATTGAATTCGGGTCCTTGTGCTTGCACAGCGGCGAAACCACTAGGCTAAATCCCTGGTCCCAAGAAGTTTTTCTTTTAAAGGCAGATGATTTACCTTTAATCTGTGATTATCTCAGAATGGAACTTCTATATTGGCACCTTTGAGTCTGTGGTTAACAAGTGACAAAAAGTAGAATTCTTTTCTTGGTGCGGGGATTATATTTCCCTTATCCTTTCAGATGGAAAGACATTCAGGTCTCTAGAATGGCTCCAGAGCATTTTTTCTGGAGACATAGTTTCAACAAGAGCCTCAAGTAGTACTTGTATGAAAACATGTATTGTTCTGAATGCGCTTGTATTTTTGACTTTTTTTCTTCCTCTCTCTTCTAGCCTGTTCTCAGCGGAGGCAGTAAGGGGCCTTGGAGCTGGCCCCAGCACCGGGAGAGGCTGGACTTCCTGTCTCTCTGTGCTGAATGGCTGCGATGGCGCCCGCTCTCACTGACGCAGCAGCTGAAGCACACCACATCCGGTTCAAACTGGCTCCCCCATCCTCTACCTTGTCCCCTGGCAGTGCCGAAAATAACGGCAACGCCAATATCCTTATTGCTGCCAACGGAACCAAAAGAAAAGCCATTGCCGCAGAGGATCCCAGTCTAGACTTCCGAAATAATCCTACTAAGGAAGACTTGGGAAAGCTGCAACCACTGGTGGCATCTTACCTCTGCTCTGATGTAACAACTGTTCCCCAAAAGGAGTCTTTGAAATTGCAAGGAGTTTTCAGCAAGCAGGCAGTCCTTAAATCTCATCCACTCCTATCTCAGTCCTATGAACTCCGAGCTGAGCTGTTGGGGAGACAGCCAGTTTTGGAGTTTTCCTTAGAAAATCTTAGAACCATGAATCCGAGTGGCCAGACAGCTCTGCCACAAGCGCCTGTAAATGGATTGGCCAAGAAATTGACTAAAAGTTCAACACATTCTGATCATGACATTTCCAGTCCCCTCAATGGGGGAAAGCGAGCTCCCACTTCATCTGCTCTTCAGGGAGGTGAAGTGGGGGGATCTGACTCTGGGGACTTAAAGGGGGGTATGACCAATTGCACTCTTCCACATAGAAGCCTTGATGTAGAACACACAACTCTATATAGCAATAATAGCACTGCAAACAAATCTTCTGTCAATTCCGTGGAACAACTGGCACTTCAAGGAAGCAGTAGGTTATCACCTGGTACAGACTCCAGCCCCAACTTGGGGAGTGTCAAGTTAGAGGGCAAAAAGTCCCCCATGTCTTCCATTCTTTTCAGTGCTTTAGATTCTGACACAAGGATAACAGCTTTACTGAGGCGCCAAGCTGATATTGAGAGCCGAGCTCGCAGGTTACAGAAGCGCTTACAGGTTGTGCAAGCCAAGCAGGTGGAGAGGCATTTACAGCATCAGCTGGGTGGGTTTTTGGAGAAGACTTTGAGCAAATTGCCGAACTTGGAATCCTTGAAATCCCGGAGCCAGTTAATGCTGACCCGAAAGGCTGAAGCTGCCTTAAGAAGAGCTGCCAGTGAAACCACCACTTCAGAAGGACTTAGCAACTTCCTGAAAAGTGATTCAATTTCAGAAGAATTGGAAAGATTTACAGCTAGTGGCATAGCCAATTTGAGATGCAGTGAAAAGGCATTTGATTCAGACATCACTGACAGTAGTTCTGGAGGGGAGTCTGACATTGAAGAGGAAGAACTGAGCAGAGCTGATTCTGAGCAGTGCCATATACCCCTGTGAGTAGAACCCATGCATGCATGTCATTCTTGAGAAGTGTTGGGGCGAGGAAGAAAGACTTAAGTCCCCATTTTGGAGAGACTAGAATTCTTTGTATATTGGTGTCCAAGTTCCATTTTATCTTTTTTTCCTAGTTTTAGGTTAGTGGATGCCTATACTTTATAGTGACAAAGGGAAAGTATTTGTGTTGCTGTAGGGTAAAAGGTGCTAATTTCCTTTTGAACTCTTACTGAAAAAAATAGAAGACAGACTATTTGTTAAATTGTACCAGTATCTCTTTGAATTCTGTTGATGCATTCTGTTGAAAGTAAACGTAGGACATTTTAGTTTCAATGGCTTGCCTATTGAGATTTTTTTTTCCTAGTAAGTAAACTTACTTGAACTTGTAAGTAATTAACTTCATTAACTTGGCTGGAATTTAGAGTTGCTTTTAATTGAAGTTTCAGGAGAGAACATTCTCAGATCTTCAACTTTAACACTTGAGATCTTTTTACTGTTGGAAAAGTAAACTTCTTTGCTCTGCTCTCATATCACAACCATCAACACTGAAGACATCTGTTACCTCAGAAGGTGTGAGGATTTCAATAGCAAGCAGGCCATTAGTTCTAGTGAACACCAGCTGACTGTCCTTTAATTCGGTCAGTTCTGACATTACCTGGAGGTAGTGCCAGATCCAACAGTTTTGAGGGTTTAGTCCCCAAGATTACCCTTCATCCCAACCTTCCCCCCAAATATTTTAGATGCCTTGTTAAGCCCCAGGTTGTTTTCACCTGTGCCTCTGAATGACTGCTATAAATCAGGGTGCCTACAACCCCCTTAGCAGATTTAATTAATTTCTTTGAGTAGCTTATAGAACTCAGGGAAGCACTATCTTGCTAGTATCTTATAAATAGTATAAAATACAAAGATGAAGACATGTATAGAGCAAGGTATGGGGGAATGGGCAGAGAGGTTCCAAGCCCTCTCTGGGCTCAACCACCCTCCAGGGACCTCTTACGTATTCAGCTCTCTGGAAGTTCTCCCTGTTTTTATGGAAGCTTGATTACATTGGCATAATTGATTATATCCTTTGCCATTGATGAACAGTTTAGCTTTCAGTCTCTCCCCTCCTCAGAGGTGGCGGGGTGGGGCAGGGGTGAGACCTAAAGTCCCAACTCACTGTTTCTGTTGATAGGCCCATCTGGAGCTGCCTCGGAGTTGCTGGTTATCAATTCAGCTTATTAGCATAGATTTAAAAGACACTATTACTTTGGAGAGTTCAAGGCTTTTAATCGTATTGCTAGGAAACAGATAAAGACCAAATGTATATTTCACATTATCACACTTAAATTTTAAGGACGAACAATTAGAAGATGTCAGAGTATTTTATATGTTGCCTGTTAGCACAGCCCGTTTTCACAGCTTGATTGATTCTCTTCCTAAAAGGCCCCAATTTTGTCAGATGATCTTTTTGGTTTGAGAAAATTTTATATACACTTTGTATGGGTGACATATCGGATTGGCATGATGGAGCCAGAGGTATTTTACTCTTGTTCTCTCTAAAATCTACATTCATATGTTTAAATAAATCTATATTTACTACTTATGGATATTAGACTTGTGAGAGGAGGGAACATGAGAAGTTAGGAAAGATGGGCATGATAGTTGACTAGTGGATCCTCTTCATTTCCTCTTCCGGTAGAGATGTTTTAAAGTCTGCATTATTAGAGAGAGCTGAAATGGGTGAATATGTTGGAAAAATACTTTTGCCCTGCTGGTAGTAAAAAGATAACTGATTCTTACTGTAGAATTTTGTAGTTACTTATATACGTTTCTCAGGTTTGTTTATATTATCCACTTAGATAACATTGTGTATGTGAATTGAAACTGTTGTTTGTATTTTGAAGGGAAAAGCCTGGGTATTTTTTGTTCAATTTCTGTTTTATAGACCTAGTTCTGTTATTTGTTCACCACACTCAACAGTTTACTACTTTGTTCACATTTTAGAGTGGTATACTTCAGAAGCTTGTTACTTGTATAACATAGTTACCTTTTCTTTAAGTGAATTAGTAGCTTAAGTCAGCTTGCCAATATTTGTGGCAAAATCCCCCAACTTTGCTGCATAATTCACTGCTTTAAAAATATCTTGATGAATATTAAACATTTTGTATTTAAAGTTAGACAGTTGAAGCATTGTAAATTGGACTTATTTTGTGTATTCAACAAAAAGTCACCTAGACTATAAGCTTATTGTGTTCAGGATGTACTGTATTGCGTTGAAAATATTTCTGAGGTTTGGTAAAGTTGTGGGTAAGTGTTCTAATCCAATGAAATCAAAATACCCAGGGACAGAATTTATTCTTACGGTGATCTAGTGACTTCAAAAGCATTTTAGTCCATTCACTTACTACTTAGTTTTATCACTTAATGTTCTGTTGATTGAAAGGGTGTGAAGTATAAGGATAGCCAGGGAATCATTTTGGGAAATTTTTTGGTGTCAGTTGAATCCCCTTCCAATTAAGTCAACTAAATCTTTAAAAACTTGAATTTCCATGCATCAGGTCATATAAAAGTAAAAAATTGGGCTCTGAAAGTACTGTCAAGCAGATGATCTTTTTGCACATTATAATTATATTTAAGTCAAAATCATCAATAAAACATAAATACCTTAAAGTTCTTATTGAGCAAGATCACCAGATTGACTTTTAAGATTGAGGTTTATTAGCTGGATCTTTGTTGAACAGCTCAATATTGGCTAGACAGTGAGAGTAGAGACATTGCTTTAATTAAAAAAGAAAACGAACTTTAAAAAATATATACTTAGAAACCTTTTCTTTGTAATCTAATAGTTCTCCCAAGTCTCATAACCACATTGAAATTGTTCAGTGCTAGAATGAGAAGTTAGTTAACTCTTCAACAGGAACTTGACCCAGTAGCTGTTTTATTCTTTTTCTAGAGATATTGTGGGCTGTATTTAGTCTGGGGAGCCATGACAAAAATATTTTGTTATGGAACCAGTTGAAATGAATTGTTTTAAAATGTTGCTTAAATTAAAAGTGGATGGCTCTGTGAAAATTAAAAGGTCTTCACTAAAAATTCAGTAGTGTTTTTCTTCTTTTCCTACCTTCAATAGTAATCTGTTCCTACCTTCAACAGTGATCTGTTGTGTAAGTCCTTGGCACGCTAGCAATAGCAGAATGAGGTTGTTGTATTTTGGACAAATTGTATGTTTGTCATTCTCCTATACTTAAGTAAGTATATAAAACAACTTCTCATAAGTTATTTTACTTTTGCCTAAATAAAGGGTATGGGCCTGGAATTGAATGACATTGTGTATGTATAATGACTGTTTTCTTGCTCTCTCCCTTTAATCTCTATTTCCTATTTGTTCCTGAGAATCTTGAGAGATGTATCCTGGCAAAATAGAAAGGAGGGGAGGCAGGGCTTAGGACCTTTGAGACTAAACTAATCTGAAACATGGGATAAACCAGAGCTTTGGGATGATTTTGACAACTGATTTGAGTAAGTTAGGAAAAAAAAGCTTTTGACCAACTTATATCTGACAACAGAGTTGAGACATGTTGATAAGGAAATAATCATAGTCTACATTTGTTGAATTGGAGGGTAGGTAGTGTTTTAAGAGTTTTTCACTAACTTACACAGTCCTCAAAACTACAAGAAAGTAGATATTTTTTATCATATTATAGAGTTGGATTAAGGAATGGAAAGTTTTAAGTAACTTGCTTAATATGACACAGCCAATGAGAGAGCAAATACCCATAGTTACACTTGCTATATTTGCAGAAACAAATTGTCCATTAGCTTTGGTTGATGAAGAGTGATCTATCAAACATGTAAAATAAGGTATTTAATTTTATATACAGGAGACTAATATATATTTTGAGGAAAGGATATAATTTTCTTTATCTTAGCCACATGAACTATATTAAAAAATTTTTTTTGAGACAAGGTCTCGTATAGTTCAGGCTACTCTTGAACTCACTATGTGCAGTCCTGCCTTAGCCTCCTGAGTGCTAGGATTACAGGTGTGTGCTACCTTGCCTGGCTAACCACATGTACCGTTTAAGCCTCTAATGCCCTTTATTTAGGACAGGGTTGGGGGCATGATACTGAGGATTGAACCTAGGACCTTTTGCACTGAGCTACATCCTCAGCCCTTTTTATTTTTTGAGACAATGTTTTGCTAAGTTGCTGAGTTGCTCAGGTGGGGTTGGAATTTACTATGGTCCTATCCCAGAGTGCTGGGGTAATAGGTATGCACCACAGTGGCCAGCTTTTTTTTTTTTTTTTTGGGGGGGGTGTATGTGTGGAGTAAAAATGGGTTGTATTGGGAAGGGGAATTTGCTGGGGCAGACATAGATAATATCTAGGAAGTGGCTGGAGTGTCCCTTCTCTGTCCCTGTGGGCCACCTCTCCCCTAGTTGAACCCAGGGACTTTGAACTCAACTGCATTGCCCAGCAGGTGTGGTCCCCCCCTCCCCCCTTTGAGATTGAGTCTTGCTAAGTTTCCTGATCTGGGCTTGAATTTGCAGTCCATCTGCCTCAGCCTCTCAGAGTACTACCTATGTGTGCTATCATGCCCTGGTGGAATGATTTTTTTTTTTGAAAAAGAGAACCAGAGATACTCGTCACGCTTTCTGTATGTTTGGTGGTTTACATTTGGTATCTTAATCTTCCAAATACTTATCTGGGTGAGATCCCCATTTTATAGCTGAGAACCCAAGATTATAGATATATTAATTTGCTTAATAATTAAATATAGAAACTATTTCTTTTACTCTTCTTTCTACTGTTTTTTCTCTTGGAACTGATTGGGCAAAGATGGAGAAAATTATCTTTTCAGAAGTGGACCAACCTGAAGGCCTGCATAATTAATTTTGCTGTTTCAGCTCTCAGCACAGTACATTGGTGGGTGTGGCATTAACTATGAGATGAGAAGGTTAAATATTTTCCTTTGTTATAATAAATTATCCAGAGAAGTGGTGTATTTAATAATTTT